AATCAGAAGACAGCATTGAAAATATCACTCAATCAGAGAACCAAAAAGAAAAAACAATTAAAAGACAGGAGAACAGCTTAAGGGAGCTGTGGAACAATGTGAAACATAACAATATTAGAATAGCCAAGTGTGCCAGAAGAGGCAGAAAGGAAGAAAGGCATAGAGAAGGAAAAAGTCACACAAGTGCAGGAGGTACAGAGAACCCCAAACAAGAAGAACCCAAACAGGCCCATGGCCAGACACATCATAATTGAAATACCAAAAAAAGACAAAGGAAGAATCTTAAAGGCAGCCAGACAAAAACAAACTGTTATCTACAAAGGAGTTCCCATAAGGCTGACACCTGATTTCTCATCAGAATCTCTACAGGCCAGAAGGGAATGGTGTACGTAGAGCTCGGGAAGTATGTCTCAGCGCTAAGGCTGATGCAATGGTGTGAGCACACTCCACCATGACATGCTTCCTCGGCACACCAGGAAGTAGCAACGCCCGCCTGAATGAACTCCTAGAGCCACGTGCACAGTACCCCAGCATTTCAGCCATTGGTCGCCTATAGCAACGTGTCTCCCTCTGATTGGTCCCCTCATGCTATATATACCCCTGTAGTTCCTCAATGAAACGGATCTGTGTCAATGAACCTGGTCTCCGGAGTCGTGCATGCAGACGCCCTAGCGCGTTGGGGCTCCGTCGTCCTCACCCCCACAGGACCCCCTGCTTCAGAATGGCATGAAGTACTCAAGGCAATGGAAAGCAAGGATCTGAGATCAAGATTACTATGTCCAGGTAGGCTATCATTCAAAATAAACAATCAAATAAAGGGCTTTCCAGACAAAAAAAAAGGTAAAGGAGTACATCACCACCAACCCAGCATTACAAGAAATGCTAAAGGGATTGCTGTAATGAGAAGAAGAAACAGAGAGAAATCTAGCCATACAGAATTAAAATGGCAATAAATAAGTTCCTATCAATAACCCTAAATGTAAATGGATTAAATGCTCCAATCAAAAGGTGCAGAGTAGCTATATGGATACAAAAACATGACCCAACTATATCCTGTCTAAAAGAGACCCACCTCAAAACAAAAGACACAAACAGGATAGGAGTGAAGGGATGGAAAAAAATTTTCCATGCAAATGGAAAAGAAAAAAAACCTGGAGTAGCAATACTCATATCTGATAAAATACACTTCAAAATGAAGGCCATCACAAGAAACAACAAAAGTCACTACATAATACTAAAGGGATCGATAGAACAAGAGGATATAATCCCGGTAAACATATATGCACCCAATAAAGGAGAACCTAAATATATAAACAAACTTCTATAGCAGTGGTCGCCAACCTTTCAGACCTGACGGACCGCCAGTGGTCCATGGACCACCGGTTGGTGACCGCTGCTCCAAAGGTTTCCTTAAACCAGCCGTCGCCAACCTTTCGGACCTCATGGACCACCAGTGGTCCGTGGAATACCGGTTGATGATCACTGTTCTAGAGGACTTTAACGGAGAGATCGACAACAATACAGTCATAGTAGGGGACTTCAACACCCCTCCACCCCTCTCACTTCACTGGATAGATCTTCGATAGAAACTTTAACAAGGAAACAGAGACTCTAAAGTTCACAGTGGATCAGATGGATTTAATTGACATTTATTGGACATTTCACCCCAATGCAGCAGAATATGCATTCTTCTCAAGTGCACATGGATCATTCGCAAAGACAGAACACATGTTAGGACACAAACCAAGGTTACACAAGTTCAAGAAGACTGAAATCAAATCAAACATCTTCTCAGATCACAGTGCAACGAAATTAGAAATCAAGTACAGTAAAAACACCCCAAAACATTCAAACACATGGAGGCAAAATAGCATCTTATTAAACAATAAATGGTTTACCAACGAGATCAAGAAAGAAATAAAAACCTTCCTGGAAACAAGTGAAAATGAATACACAACAACCTAAAATCTCAGGGATGCAGCAAAGCAGTCCTGAGTGGGAAGTTCATAGCACTACTGAGAAGGCAAACCCCTATTCTGTAAAACTACTGTTTGGAATTCTCTGCTATTCTTTAGACGGCCTCTTATTCTGAAAAAATAAGTTTGCTTTCTAGCCTGCTTTAGCCTGCTTGAATAATGAGGAAGATAAACTTAGCTGTCTGACCTTGTAGGCCAGAGATCAGATACGCCCAATGCCATGCCAGGTGCATTTTTTAATTGGATAGAACTGTGTAGTTTTCAAGGCCACCAGCAAGATAACCACTAAGTGCACAAAGGGCTGGCTCTTTCATAAAAAGGGAAGTTCTGCTTGTAGCTCTGCTTAGAATTTGAATTCATTTTCTCTAAGCCCACCACGGTGAATAAAGTGTAACTCCAAACTCTCAGAGCATTGCTTGGTTTTTCTCCGGTTTTTCTGTAACACTACAGGCATACCTCAAAAAACAAGAAAAGTTAATAAGATACTATCTAACACTACAACTTAAAGAACTAGAAAGAGAACTATAAGAAAAGCACAAAGTAAGCAGAAGGAAGGAAATAATAAAGGTTAGAGCAGAAATAAATAACATAGAGACTAAAAAAATAATAATACAAAAAAAATCAATGAAACTAAGAGGTGGTTCTTTGAAAGGATAAACAAAATTGATAAACCATTAGCTAGACTCATCAAGAAACAAAGAGAGAGGACCCAAATAAATAAAATTGGAAACAAAAGTGGAGAAGTAACCACTGACATCACAGAAATACAAAGGATTGTAAGAAAATACTATGAACTACTATATGCCAACAAGCTGGACAATGTAGATGAAACAGACAGATTCCTAGAAAAATACAGTCTCCCAAAATTAAATCAGGAAGAATCAAAAACCTGAAAGGCGAATAACAAACCAATATGGCCAATTATTCTATTACAAAGGAGGCAAGAATATACAAAGGGTAAAAACAGTCTCTTCAATAAATAGTATTGGGAAACCTGGACAGATATATGCAAAATAATGAAACTGGATCACTTTCTTACACCATGTAAAAAGATAAACTAAAAATGGATAAACTACTTAGTGTAAGACCTGAAACCATAAAACTCTTGGAAAGGAAACACAGGCAGTAAATTCTTTGACATTGCTCTTAATAATATTTTTTTGGAAACATCTCCTCAGGCAAGGGAAACTAAAGAAAAATAAACCAATTTGACTACATCAAACTAAAGTTTTGCACAATGAATGACACTATGAACAAAACTAAAAGGCAACCTACTAAATAGGAGAAGGTATTTGCCCATGATATACTCAATAAGAAGCTAATATCCAAAATATATAAGGAAGTCATAAAATTTTAACACTGAAAAGAACCAAACACTACAATTAAAAATATGCAGAGCACCCAAAGAGATTTTTTCAAAGAGAACATATAGATTGTTAATCTACGTATGAAAAATGCGCAACTTCCTTAATATGTGAACAATAATTCTAAAAAATATATGCACTGAAGCATTGTTTACAATAGCAAAAATATGAAAGCAATTTAAGTTTCCATCAATAGACAAAAGGATAGCCCAGCCGGCATGACTCAGTGGTGTAGTGTCAACCCATGAATCAGGAGGTCATGGTTTGATCCCTGATCAGGGCACATGCCAGGGTTGCAGGCTCAAACCACAGTGGGGTGGGGTGGTGGTGCAGGAGGCTGGTGATCAATGATTCTCTCTAATCATTTATCTATCTATCTATCTCTCCCTCTCTGAAATCAATAAAAATATATTTTAAAAAAACAGACAAATGGATTAAAAGATGTGGTACATATATACAATGGAATATTACTAAAACATAAAAAAGAAGGAAGTCTTACCATTTTTTACAATGTGGATGTACCTAGAGCAGTGGTTCTCAACCTTCCTAATGCCGCGACCCTTTAATACAGTTCCTCATGTTGTGGTGACCCCCAATTTCATTGTTACAAATTGAAAATAATTAAAGCAGAGTGATTAATCACAAAAACAATATGTAATTATATATGTGTTTTCCGATAGTCTTAGGCGACCCCTGTGAAAGGGTCATTTGACCCCCAAAAGGGTCGCGACCCACAGGTTGAGAACCGCAGACCTAGAAGATGTTATGCTAAGTGAAGTAAGTCAGACAAGCAAAGACAAATACTGTACAATTTGACTTACATGTGGAATATACAAAACAAAATATACGAACAAACAAAACAGAAATTAACTCATTGATATAAAGAACAAATTGATGGTTGCCAGAGAGAAGGAGGGTTGGGAAGATAGGTGAAAAAAGTGAAGGTATTAAAAAGTACAAATTGGCTGTTATAAAAAACAGTCATCAGCAGGGGTCCTCAAACTTTTTAAACAGGGGCCAGTTCACTGTCCCTCAGGCCGTTGGAGGGCCGGACTATAGTTTAAAAAAAAAACTATGAACAAATTCCTATGCACACTGCACATATCTTATTTTGAAGTAAAAAACCAAAACAGGAACAAATACAATATTTGTATTTGCATGTGGCCAGTGGGCCGTAGTTTGAGGACCCCTGGTCATGAGGATAGGAGATCTAGTCACTAATACTGTAAAAGCCACTGTGCTGTCACACGGGTACTAGACCTATCAGGGTGATCACTTTGTAAGTTATATAACTGTCTAATAACTATATTGTACACCTAAAACAAGTATAATATTGTATGTCAACTGTAATTGAAAAAAAAATGTTAAGAAAACAAATAAATACTGCCAGGTTAGAAGGCATTCAAAGAAATAACAAACAGAACAAAAATAATTATGACACATGAAAGACAAGTTATCTAACAAAATAAAGAACATGTTAGTTAAGGGCCTGATACAATTTACAATTCTATTTTTCCTATATCACTGCATATTTGATGGCTTATTTATGAATACAATTTTTGAAATATTTGTGAAATAGACAATGAATAAACCAAGTCTTCCCTCTGGCATGGATGATTTTTTAAATTGGTAATTTGGATGTAGAAAACATTTGATTTACCTCAAGACATACTTCTTGTTGGTACTGCTACAACTTTGTGCCCTATAAACATAAAAAGTATTTTAGTTTGAAGATACAATACCTGACAAAATGGAAAAAAATACGGTTAATTTTTAATGAAATATATTGTTAGTAAGTATATTTCTAACAAAAGTTCTGTTTTCACTGGAAATCTATGAGAACTAAATTCTCTACATACAATTTTAAATAAAAGATAATTGGTTTACCACCCCAGTATTTTTGGATTCATAAACCTCAATCCTTACTTCTTCACTATACACGTATTTCAGGTGTCAGGCAGTGTAGACTACACTCCTATCACAATCAGGTTGATAAGGCAATAATCACCTGGGATTGTGAGCCATCATTGTATCTTATTAAACCTGTAATAAATATATATCTAATCACAAAATGCCTGAAACCACTGTGCTGTCAGGTGATAAAATAAGGAGAAATCAAGATGAAGAGAGACAGCAGTCTTAAATAACTACAGTTAAAATATCTTACTTGAACACACTGCTCTGGTCCTTCTTAGGGCCTTTGGAAAAAAACTCCAAATTAGGAATGTAAAGGCATGTTTACCCCAATATTATAATGTTGGTGTAAACATGCCGTTACATTCCTAATTTGATGCACATAAAAAACATGCAAAATACATTAATCATAAAGTATAATATTCTACTAAAAACACTAAGTATCTTCGAACCATCAACAAAATATTACCAATAATGTCCATTTACGTTATGTTTCTCCATTCCATGCCCTCCTCCCTCTCTCCCCATCCTCAAGTAATCTGTATTTTAAAATTTTAAGTTTATACTTTTATTGGTATTTGTAAATTAGTTTAATGATTGCCGCAGTCCAGCCCCAGCGGTCCAGGGGTTCCCAAAGGTGTGGACAGAGTCGGCGAATGATGTTTTACATGGAGACAGCGTTCAGAACTCTCTAGCCCTCTTTAGTCTCCGTGGATCTTCCTGTGCCTGGCTGAGGCCACAGAGAAAGATCCTGAGGCAAGCTGAGCCTTTATTTTTATACTCAGAGGTAAACAAGGTAGTGATTACCAAAGTTACACTGTTCTTGTGAGTTTCACTTGTTTACACTGTTCTTGTGAGTTTCACTTGTTTTTGTTCTTGTTGCACTTCCCTCAGCCCATTAGCTTCCCAGGTAAGATCTAGAGAGCGTTATAAGGTCAACCCTAATTATACTTAAGAGGACTGTGCCCTCTAAGCTGGGACTTGTTTGTGACTTTGCCAATAGGTCAGTCGGAGGTTTAACCCTATAGCGGCTCCCCACAAATGATAAATGACACATGTAACCTATAGACAGCTTAACCTGACTTTTTTAGTAAAGTGTACAGTTTTCTAATACATGGTTTTTAGGTGGTTGTTTTTCAGTTTATTTTTAAATCTTTATTGCTAAAGGTATTACATATGTCCTCCCCCGCCCCCTCCAATTGATCTCTGATTCAATTTTGGGAGACTGCATTTTTCCAAGAATTTGTCCATTTCATCCATTGTCCAGCTTGTTGGCCTATAGTTGTTCATGGTATTTTCTTAGAATGCTTTGTATTTCTGTGGTGTCATTGCTTACTTCTCCACTTTCCTTTCTGATTTTATTGATTTCGGAATCCTCTTTGTTTCTTGATGGGTCTGGCTAAAGGCTCATCAATCTTGTTTATCTTTTCAAAGAACCAGCTCTTAGTTTCATTGATATTTTGTATTATTTTTTTCAGTCTCCATGTGATTTACTTCTGCTCTAATTTTTATTATCTCCTTCCTTTTACTTACTCTGGGCTTTTCTTATTGTTCTCTACTTCTTTAAGTTGTAGTGTTAGATACTTTATTAACTTTTCTTGTTTTTTGAAGTAGGCCTGTAATGCTATGAACTTCCTGCTCAGGACTGCTTTTGCTGTGTCCCTGAGATTTTAGGTTGTGTGTGTTCATTTTCACTTGATTCCAGGAAGGTTTTTCTTTCTTTTCTTTCTTTCTTTTTTTTTTTTTTAATATATTTTATTGATTTTTTAGAGAGAGAAAGGGAGAGAGATAGAGAGTTAGAAACATCGATGAGAGAGAAACATCGATCAGCTGCCTCCTGCACATCTCCTTCTGGGGATGTGCCCGCAACCCAGGTACATGCCCTTGACCGGAATCGAACCTGGGACCTTTCAGTCCACAGGCAGACGCTCTATCCACTGAGCCAAACTGGTTTTGGCAGGTTTTTCTTTCTTGATCTCGTTGGTAACCCATTCATTGTTTAATAAGATGCTATTTGCCTCCATGTGTTTAAATGTTTTTGGGTGTTTTTACTGTAGTTGATTTCTAATTTCATTGCACTGTGATCTGAGAAGATGCTTGATATGATTTCAATCTTCTTGAACTTGTAGCAAGTTGTTTTGTGTCCTAACATGTGATCTATCTTTGTGAACGATCCGTGTGCACTTCACAAGAATGTATGCATGTTCTGCTGCGTTGGGGTGAAATGTTCTATAAATGTCAATTAAATCCAATTGATCCAGTGTGTGCTTTAGATTCACTGTTTCCTTGTTAAGTTTTTGTCTGTTAGATCTAGTGAAGTCAGAGGGGTATTGAAGTCCCCTACTATGACTGCATTATTGTTAATCTCTCCATTAAAGTCCCCTAGAAATTGTTTAATATATTTAGGTGCTCCTATATTGGGTGCATACATGTTTACCAGGGTTATATCCTCTTGTTGGATGGATTCCTTTAGTATTATGTAGTGACCTTTGTTGTCTATTGTGATGGCCTTCATTCTGAAGTACATTTGTCAGATATGAGTTCTGCTACTCCAGCTATTTTTCTTTTCCATTTTTATGGAAAAATTTTTTCCCATCCCTTCACTCTCATCCTGTATGTGTTTTGCTTTGTTGTTTTTTGCTGGGAGCCGGTCCATCCTTGCTGTTTCAAAGGACCTGGCATATATGGCATACTGTTCTTAATATGTTTGCTCACCTTCTTGGCACTATGTGTTTTAACCAAGGTCACCTCTCTGAGAAAGGTTGTTTCCCCAGGTAGGGATTTTCCCCTGAAGTTAGGGAGGGAATAAAACCCCTTAACTAAGTGCCAGGCGGGTAATTAATCACTTTAACTACGAACAATCATGCTTAAGCTACATAATCTTTACTCCCTGGAATGGAGATAAGAAACGCCCTAACCTTTGGAATAGAGATTGATAGGATTGAATCAACTGGTATAAATACAGCTGTAACAAGACAACAGGAGACAGAACTTAGAAGACAGAACCTAGACACAGAACCTAGAGACAGAACCTAGAGAGAACATGACAAAAGATCCTGGACAGAAACTGGCAACAGAACCTAGTGAGAGAACCTGGCTGAAGAACCTAGAGACAGAACCTGGATAGAACATGGCAAGAGAACCTGACTAGAACCTGGTGACTGAGCCTGGCAAAAGATCCTGGAGAACCTGGACAGAACCTGGCTGGAGAACCTGGCGAGGGAACATGGCTACAGAACCTGGCGGGAGAACCTGGTTGGAGAACCTAGCAAGAGAACATGGACATAGAACCTGGCTGGAGATCCTAACCAGAACTTCGCTGGAGATCCAGACCAGAACTTGGCTGGAGATCCTGGCTAGAGATCCTGGCTAGGCTGCTGATCAACTGAATGCTGTCTCTGTGTCATTCCTTCTTCGCCGACTCTGTCCACACCTTTGGGGACCCCTGGACCTGCTGGGGTGGGACCCCAGCAGTTTTTGTTTGTTTTTGTGAGGTGGGCCGCTTGTAGACAAGCTGTCCTCCTGTTTTTTAATTGATTTATCTTTTTGTTTCTCTGAGTGATTTTTTTCTACCCTGTCTTCTGATTCACTGATTCAATCCTCAGCTCCCCTTAATCTCCTATGCATTCCTTCCAATGTGTTCTTCATTTGTGCTATCATTTATTTATGTTTTCATAGTTACTGTATCTTTTCTCATACTGTTGGGCATCTTTCCATCATTATTTTGAACTCTGTAAGAGATGAATTTCTTATCTCCATTTCATTTATCTGTTCTTCTGGAGAATAATCTCGTTCTATCTTTTGGGGGTTGTTTCTTCGTCTCCTCATTTTTGTTGCCTATTTGTGTTTGTGACTATGTATGAGGTAGACCAATTACGTCTCTAAATCTCTAGTGCAGAAAGGACAGTGTCAAATGTTATACATGACTAATTAGGTCAGATAAAGACTCAAAGTCTCCAGAGACCGCCTCTGCCACAAACTGATTAGATTCAGGCAACTGCCCACAGGTTTGGTCAGTTTTCCCAACACAGTGGGGCAATTGCTTCTACCTGGATGCTAAATATTATTCTCAGTGTCTTATTGGGCCTCAGAAACTCCACACTGTGGGTCAAGGCATTTTTCCAATAGGGTGAGTCAACTGTTTCCCCTTCCCCACACCCCAGCCCCCTACCCCCCGCGGCAAAATTACCTGCATTGCAATTATCTGCTTGAGAAAGATATCCTCCACAGCAAGAGGAAAAGACTTAGCACAGGTAACTGGATGTTTGCCTTCTAAGCTGTATCCCCAGAGCCCCCAACACTAGCTTCTGCTCACACCGCTCTAGTTCACTTTGCCCTACTTCTGGTGGAACAAAAGATGAATGGCTGCACAGGGATTTTTGTGTGTTGATCCTTTAAGCGGGTGCCTACATTTCCAGCCTTCCATCCCTGGAAGACAACAACCCTGCTGCTTTTCATAGCCATATGTTATATGTGTACCACTCTCAGTTCTGGAGCTCGCTGCTGGGAGGGCCCAGCTTGGGGATTAGACCCCAGAATTCTCAGTGGCAACCCCACACAGCTGAGATATCTCTTCAGAATTTCAGTTGCTGTCTATAACAGCCATCACAGCACTTTCGCATTTCCGCTCCTCCTAACAGTCCTTACAGTCTCCACGTTCCATTCTCAGTTATCACGGTTCTCTCCATTGAGTTTTCAGTTGATGATTCTGGGAGTTTTTCTGTATTTTAGTTGGAATTTCAGTTTGGTCCTGGGAGCATATCCATGCAACATCCACTTATTCCATTG